TATATATATATATATATATATATAGTTTATATTAATGAGTTATAGCTCTATAAAGATCTATTAAACATAATTAAGAAGTGGATTTGGCATGGTGCATATCAATAAACCACATTTAATATTTCTCTAGTTTATCTTAATTGAAAATCTATTCAGTGTATTAGAATTTAGAAACAAGGACTTCGGCCTATAATTCATAGGCCTTATGAAAAATAAATACACTATAAAAAGGGAAAAACAACACATATTTGCAAAAAAGAACAGTTATGAAAATGAATAAACTGAAAGTAACATAATTTTTGATTTGATATAATGCATGAAAATCATTCTCTATTTTGATAATCATATGGAACAGTGCATAATAATAATATTTAATAAAAACAACTTTGAAAAAACTTCTATTTACCTACCCTAATTTTTCCTGACAATGTTACCATAAATACAGAGTTAAACTTACTTGGGCTAATGTGCAAAGAAAAATAACTATGCAATAAGGATATAGATCTGTGGAATCAGTATTTTGCTGATTTAAAATAATAAATTGTTGGCTCATTTCCACTAGAACATTGTTGTGTACAAAATAATGACTAGTTTTATATACATATCTTATTCTCTATTTCTAACACGTGAAGTAAGGTGCTGTTTTTATTGTCCCTTTCTATGGTGAAGATACACCTAAAGTATCCATTTCATGAGCATCAACTACATCAATTAGTGTCATGTAAAATAATTAATCAAAATTATTATTAAATTGATTGTACCTCAAAAATCATCAACTACTTGAAATTGATGTTTCTATTCAGATAATTCTAACTATCCAAATAAGTGAAATATTGCCATTATGATTTCTGTTAATTCTAATTAATTCAAAGTTGTTTAGCTTAATCAGTTAGTGACATAACTCATGAAAATAATCAACTAATTAAAACTAGTGTTTCTAATTATTCCAACTATTCAAGTCTTTTGGCAATAATTGATTAGTTAAGTGTAATTGATTTAATGAGCCAAATGATTAATTGATTGTCAAATTTCATGAAATGTCCAGTTTTAATCAGCCTCATGAAATTGAGTCATCAGAATTGTGAAAGGATCATGATCATACTTTGAAGATACATATTAGTTTATTTAATACATATTTGGTCGGCCAGATATTTTTTGCACTAAAAAAGTTTAATGGGCACAACTGGCTATTAAGGTTTACAAATGGGTCCTGTAGACTATCTCTGAATTTTTTCCAGCAATTGCTGTATTTAAAACCAGTGTTGAAAAAACTACTTGTGGTCTAGTGTGATGGTTTTGTCACAGATATTAGGTCAGTTGGTTTTAATGCTTTGCTGAACATAATTTTATATATTATATGAACATATATATAAATTTGATCTCATGTTAAAATAAAGACTGTAAGGGTAGTGATTCGTGGCAGAAAAAAAATATTGGTGAAATGATGTTTTTACACCCCCTGATTAGAAAAAAAATGTAATGTACAAATTGACAGGAATTAACAGAAAAGACCTTCATTTAGTTGTATACTGAGCTCTATAAATATTATCAATTCAGTGTATGCTTTCTTTTCTTTTGACATTCTTCATTCTAAGTCCTCAACTGGCTTGACTATTATTTATTGTATAATTAAGTAGTAATTATATAGAATCGCCCTATACAGTGTCTCTACCTTTCGTATGTAAATGAAGCTTATTACCTAATATGAGCTAAAAAAATTCCATTTACTTAAGTAACAAACATGTTATTTTTAGGATAACATTGCCATAACATAATGAAAATTTTGTGAATTTCCCTTTTACCTGAATTTTTATTCCTCAACTGAACTTGAAAATTCAGAAAGCAATAAATATTTTATTTTGAATATACTGGAAGATATGCAGTATTTTCATAACATGCAGCTCAACTTTGAAATTTTGCTACTTTAATCATCCTTGGAAAGTTTATAGATTACAATTTAACAGGTAACTCTAATAAACATTTTGTTTGGTGTATTTAAGAGTTTTACACTAACAAAAAAGAAACCTATCACTCTATAGGTGTTTGAAGAACTTGTAGCATTCTGCCACAATTTAATTCTTCGTATTTTTTACCTGACACTAGGCAGCTGGTACACAGCTGAACACAGTTGCTTAAACATTTGCTTAACAACAAGTAAGTTATAGCAATACCTATAGAATGATAGATTTCTTTTTTGTGAGCGTAAAACTTAAATACATATTTTCGATACCTCACTACTATAAAGGCTTGGTTTGGTCTGAAGTTTCAATCGGTCCACAGACATACCCCCAATTAGAGAATAGACAATTTCAAGATTTTACTTGTTGTTAAACAAATGTTTAAACAATTCTATTCAAACATTTTGTTTGTTATGAAGTTTTATAATAAGTAAAATTTATTGACTTGTTTTCTAAAATCAGGAGAAGGTAAAGATGGCCAGTTTACTAGGAGCAGAAACACTATGCCACTCAGGCTACTAGATTCTTCTCAAAGTAGCTTGACCTCCTTGAGGTCACTGAGTTGTGATCAGGAAGTCATGCGGAGAGAGCTTCACAAGATACATGTAAGTATTTATAATATTTTTAGAAAAAAGCAACATTCCAAAAATGCATAATGACAACTTCTTGCAGTGTTTTCCCTGTTTTTAGTATTATTATTTTTGTAGTCACTAGTGGCTAATCTTTCTAAACAGAAAAGTCACTGGTGAAATTCAGGAGCCACTACTCATGAACAAGAGTCTTTGAGGGTGTTACTAATTCTTTCTATATTCCACTGGTACCTTAAGTCACTGTATTGAACTAAATAGTTATTTAATTGAATCATTTTAATATTATTGCACTGTGTGTATAAAGATATCGGTCATTTACAACTGTAAAACTAAAGCACCAGATTTGATTACCCATAAAAAGCTACATATGTACACAGATACAGAAATACATTATGAATACATTTTGTATGTTGCAGCTTTTGAAATGATTTTAAAAAATATCATTTGACAATGGAATACAAACAATCCAATATTCTTCCTACAAATTTGTTTCATATATATCTTCAATTAGTTTTCCCTTCTCTAAATTATAACTTGTAGTGCATTATTATTAGATTTTGATAAAATACATAAATTGAAATCTACTAGTGTATAGTATGCAGTAACATTCAACATATCATTCAAGAACTAGTTTTAATCAAAGTAATTATGTGTATTTACATGTTTCTATGGGGGAAAAAAAGAGACGTGATTGTTACAATTTAATTTAAACCACAGATCTTTGTTTTTAACTTTAAATACTGAAAATCTACTGTTCAACATAGTATGCTTGCTTTACCTTTCCAAGTAACACTGCACAACAACATTTTTAACATCTGTACAATAAGTTCAAACAATAATTCTGTGTAATTTGTCTATGCATCAATATTTGAAAGCCTTTTTAAAATTAAATTTCAGTATATTTTGTCAAGGTCAAGTGTATTGACACAAATTTGCATTAGTAAGTTTACATGGCTCACTTTAAGTCAGTTTCTTATGTCTGATTTCATTACATTGTAACAACTAAAACAACGTTTGCAATCAACTTTCTACATTAGTGTTACACTTTCAGTTTCGTACCAGGAGGGAGATTCACTTGATGCTGGTGTTTGTTAGTGTCCTGGGTCTAACACTGACAATGCAGAGAATTACACAGATTATTTAAATGTTGTGTTTTGACTTCTGAAAATTTAAGCCTTATGTTCTTGGCTGTACTTAAATACATGACTAGACCATTCAGAGGTATCATTTGGTTCAGCTAGTACAGTGGACTCAAAATCCTTTTATGATTTTTCCTGATGTTATCTTAATTTTCTTTAAAACTGACAATGTTGATGAAATGGCTATGCTAACATGGCTAAAGTCAACAACTTGTGTTTGTGTCATATAATTTTAAACACATCCATAACACTAACCATGCAATGAAGAATAGCTAGAAACTAATATATTACAACTAACTTCAGAAGCTCACTTGCTTGAGCATTACCAGGTTGCTGATATGAGGAAGTCTTAAGTTTTCTGGTGAATATTTAGCTAAGTCTTTCATAAAGATTCTAAAGTTTCCATTTTTTGCTTAACTCAGGCACTGAGTTCTCAAGGCTTAACCATTGGATTTCACACACCTCTTTGAACTTAATCTGGGCTTTGACTAAGGTGAGGTGTATGCTTCTCAGAGTTTGCATTTTCTTTGGAATATTGATTTAATATTTATATATCGATCCCAACACCTTGAAATGTGTTGAAATAGCCTACATTATGACTAGCTTGACATACAGCCAAAGACAAATGGTGAGCAGTACAAAGTACAGTAAAAGTGATTGGACATACAGCCTTCAACCATTGAACGTACCCCTCATCACTGATGTGCTGTAAGTGACTGTGGACACACATTTCGTTAGTGAAGATTGTACTCCTCAAATACTTCAACACCTTTATTCGGTTGTTCCATCACTTTCAAGGTTGCATACACGCAAGAAATTCACAGATGGATTTGTCAATTCTCATTCATCTCGTGTATATCCCTCTTTTTGTTTTTGGACATTCAGTTGATTCATCTATTACAATTCCTATATAATCAAACCCAGCCAAGATATTAATGTTGTCGTAGTTATAAGTTACATTGAAAAACCCTTTAAAATTAAAATTAAAAATATTTATTACAACTTTGCATAAAATCAGCCCTCAACAACAGCACGTAAGTACTGAAGTATGAAAATATAAAACAGTGAAACCTCACTATTAGGGTTAGGTACTTTAAGAAACAAACTAAATGTGGCCTTGTTAGTTTGTATCATATCCTACTTTAGTACTATAGTATTATTTGCTTATAAAATTGTATATATTTTCTAAATCTAAACAACATTGGTTAGGAATATAAAAAATAATAATGCTGTAAAAATCATGCTTTTCTAACACACACACACACACACACACACTAATTTACTTTTAACTAACTTCTCTTAGTTTTACTTA